AGTATTAGTGTTCAGCACGGAAAACAAGATCGACGGAAAACAAATCAAGGAAAAAATCTGTCTGCACAAACTTGTGACATGTTAACCTAGTCGGTACGGAGGGACTCTATGTCTCTGTGCGATCTTGCGTGTGAAATGACATTCCTTACGCTTCGCTCAACATTCCCCGGCCCGTAAAGCTGCTCCGATTCTCCAGCTTTACTCTTACCAGGAATGTCCATCACTACTAGCTTCGCAACAGGACTGCAAAGGATTCTTGAAGCCATCTTGAGCTTCGCTTGTCTTATCCAATTCCTCGTATCCACTGATTTCTAGCTTCTTCATCAACCAAGAATACTACATCTCCAACTTCAATGGGTTTCGTGTCTTCGAACCATTTTGTTCTTCGGATAATCATCGGTAGATACTTTCGAATCAATCTGTGCCAATACTTTTTTTTCCTTGATTTGTTTTCCGTCGATCTTGTTTTCCGTACTGAGCACCAATGTTACCGACGCCAGGTAGGCAGCTCCCACACCTGAACCCTACCTATCGACTCATGGGACCAACGGACCTACATTTTATTTTACTTCCACAATAAGCATATCGGTGGAGAAATCAATAGTTTTCTCAAACTAACTAAGGGATTTATAAGAATTATAAGCAGCGCTTTAGTTATTCTTTTCCAATGGAATTAGTTTGGTTTGCCCGATTTATACACGGATAGAAATCTCCTTATACCTTTTGGCAAATTTCTATTGCTGATTATTCATAAAATGTATAAGTCAACTAATAAGCAGACGTCTTGCAAAAAGTTAATGAAGATCATGTGTCAAATGAAATATATAAGCGGTCACACATACCTTTTATGCATTATTATAGGACCTATGCGGTTTGTCTTATGGAATGTATAAGTTTGATGTTTTGGTAAAAATGTATAAGTTAAACACTGCCGTTATACGCATAAGAGTCCCACTTGGCATAAGGAACATGGGACAGTAGGGTGTTTCATTCTGGAAAAAAGATTGATATTTTTGATAGGCCACCCCCTAGTTCAGTTTGTAACACAAAAACAAACATCTGTGCCAAGAATCAGCTAAATTGGTCAACGTTAAGAGGTCGCGCCAACGATTTCAAATTTGTTCGGGATTTTCGTCAAATTACTATGGTAGAAAATGATGACCCACTAAAATCATTTTAACTTTTTTCTTAATAAACCGATTTGCATGAAATATCAAATATGTTATACTTAAAACTATAATAAACAACTCTGTTGAAGGCTGCAAGTCGATTTGATGCTCCAGAAAACAGAAATTGGCTTTCGGACCTCAGATTGCAGATAAACCTTGATTTGAGCAGAAAAGCAGGTATGCTGATAGGGTGTATTTCATAGTATGCTTTGCCAGATTTTTTTTTTACCTTAATGTTTATAAACATATTGTGCTGTCATCTCTGGATACAATAGTGCCATGAAGTTAAGATGTGATAGGAGAAGTGGTTGATCGGTCACCCCTTTACCAGGTTCACCGGTAATTCCGAGTAACCGAGAAGTACTGCAGCTCTTCTTTTTTCATCGCGCACAATCTCGCTCCACGGTACGACAATGCTGCTGGAAGATGGTTCAATTGGCAGACCAAGTTTGGGTCAGAGCTCGTATCCCAATGAGAAAAACCAGCCATAGTATCAAGGCTTTGGAAAAACTTTACGATCGGTGGACAAGCATAAACAAGTATTTCTCGCATTGACGAAAAATTTGTTCAGCAAAGAAAAGCCTTCAACGAAGGATTGGACAATTTTTCGATATGGCTCATTCGAATGCCTTCGAGATGATTACGGAAGCAGAAGATCGCGAATTTCTTTTAGCGCAGATAGAAAAAGGAAGGCCAGGATTCATGTTGGGCTCCTACAGCGACGCTTGTAATGACGGTAAGAGTCGGAAAGAACCGGAAATTAAGGAGAGGGCTGTGGATACTATGGCTGGTTTCCTCATTGGGATACGAGCTCTGACCAAACGTTTTATGCCGATTGAACCACCTTCCAGTAGCATTGTCGTATGAGCGAGATTGTGCACGATGAAAAAATAAGAGCTGCAGTACTTCTCGGTTACTCGGAATTACCGGTGAACCTGGTAAAGGGGTGACCGATCAACCACTTCTCCGTATCACTTCTTAACTTCATGGCACTATTGTATCCAGAGATGACAGCACAATATGTTTATAAACATTAAGGTAAAAAAAAAATCTGGCAAAGCATACTATGAAATACACCCTATCAACATACCTGCTTTTCTGCTCAAATCAAGGTTTATCTGCAATCTGAGGTCCGAAAGCCAATTTCTGTTTTCTGGAGCATCAAATCGACTTGCAGCCTTCAACAGAGTTGTTTATTATAGTTTTAAGTATAACATATTTGATATTTCATGCAAATCGGTTTATTAAGAAAAAAGTTCTACCATAGTAATTTGACGAAAATCCCGAACAAATTTGAAATCGTTGGCGCGACCTCTTAACGTTGACCAATTTAGCTGATTCTTTGCACAGATGTTTGTTTTTGTGTTACAAACTGAACTAGGGGGTGGCCTATCAAAAATATCAATATTTTTCCAGAATGAAACACCCTAGGGACAGTTATGCATATAACGGCATGCATAAGGAACATAGGACAGTTATGCGTATAACGGCAGAACACATGAATAAAATAATTGCTTTTCATTTCGTGTAGTTGTTGGGCTAGAAAAAGTGCTATTTTAGGGTTAAACCCATGAAAACTTCATAAAATAAAAAAGATATAAACTTACTTCTAAAGACAAAATGGTGTATCTTTATAACACACACAAATTGTGGAACATGTTGATGCACAGTGGGGATTATTGGGATAACAAGGATTAAAATTTTCTGCTTCTTAAATCCGAATATGATTTTTTTTTCATTTAGGTAAATGGACAATGGAATATTTATAGCACAATTTTATTCAGCGCATGCTATGGTAGTTCTTGTTTTAAACCTATCTACCGTAAAATTCCACGAAACAACTGAAAATTATCGAATTAAGCATTTTTTCAGACATGTACCAGTGCAAAATGAGCTCAAACTTGCGTTTGGTTTATTTTCGGTAATTAAACTAGTGTTAACAACTTTCTGGATATTAGCTTGATTGGTGTCTTCTGGTTGTAAAATGCCTGTTTTAATATTACATCTAAAACTTTGCCAAAGACACCTGGTAACCTGGTTAAAATGTCATATTTAATTATCTTAAACATAAATCGTCCAGCTCAAACCTTTATAGGGGGAAGAGGTGGGACCATCATCATCAAAAGGATTAATCATGGAAAATCTGAGCCCCGATCGAGCTAATCATGTACACAAACTTCTCCCAAGACACTATGTGTCTTAAATATTCCGTTTTCGCCAAAATAATAAAACGCACGAATTAGCGCTTTTAAGTCACTGGTCTGCACTGGTGCGTAGGGGCAGAGGTAGGAGGGGCATAGTGAACAGGTGGGGTATAGTTAACCCTTCTGTGCTTTAGCCTTGCATGTATTATGGTTCGAATCAAATTATTATGTATACTATTACAAATCATTGCAATGATGATATTCAACTTACTACCAATTAATTTGTTTCGAACAATTAGAGATTTGGGACTGGAGTGTGGGATGCTCATTATGCCCCACCTGTTCACTATGCCCCTCTTATCTCTTCTAGTGAAACAATCTAATTGAGTGCCGTTTAATTGCGTTTTTAGCTATTCTAACTAACGGGGTTCAACGGTAACACGATTCAGGACCAGGTTGCTACTGAAATCGCAAAACTGCTTTCGAAAAAAAGACGATATCATGTGAATTATGTTGTCAGAAGAGGAACAGGCAGGGCAGCCTTGTGAATTTCCAATGATTTTTATCCTCTTAGTATTGGAACCTCATTCCAGGCTCCAAAAAGTATCATATGTGATGATTGTCATCCTCAATTTCCCATTCGATATTATCGATAACTGCTCAGCCCTATGTGACATCGCCGTATATGACCTCTTTTTTTTTTTTTAGTTTGTTTATTTGTCGAGGCTCATCCGCAGTAGCTTCACGGAGCCGAAATTCAAACGTTTTTTTATCAATACTACTTAAAAATAAAATTAGTAGCGGCTTGCTCGAGTTTAGAGGTAACAATTGATAAACAGTTGGATGGAGGGTTAAGGATTAAGAACACAAGGGTTGGAGCTGCACTGTGGGCGAAAACTACGCTCTATGTGACCTGATATATGATACATGATATGAAATCATATATGACCTCACAGTATCGAACGGGTTAAGCCACGATATTTTTATTTATGACTTCATTGAAGAGACTTTCAGCATGATCAGTTTGATATTTTTTTTTACTAAGTCAGTGAGACTATGACGAAAGCTTGCTTTATCAGACGAATTAACAGAAATTTATCTCCTTAAACATCTAGCAGCTATTACGTTTATGTTAATATACCCGGCATCGACGCTCTTACTGAGTATAATTCCTGCTCTAGTATTAGTGCACTTTTGCAGTTGTCAATAAATTAATATAAAGGCTCGGTAATGAAGAAAACTAAACAAAACTAATCAATTAATAAATTCATTCCCTCCGGCTTGATAATACCATCCCATAAGTGACAAGGCTATCTGAAGTTCCCAATCTATTAATATATTGTCCAACATAATATTGCGAGTGTCCGAGTCGACACCAATGGTCTAATATAATTTTAAATGCACAAATGCACCCTTCATAGTTAAAAAACGCTTTATAAATTCAAGTGAAAATGCTCCATAAATTTTCGGAAAATTCTCGATTAATTTATAAAAATACATCTTTTTTTCATTTTTTTTTAGATGCTCCCTAAATCCTCTAGGAGAAAAAAATGCTCCATTAGTTTAGGTAAGTGCATAATTTTTCAAATCCAACCTAATTCTTCAGAAAACAGTTAAGTTAGCTTAGGTAATTGTAATATTTTACTGCTATTCAATACTTTTCACATGAATCATACAAATACATATCTAATGTTTTACGTAAAAAATGATTGTTTATTATCTTAACTATTTCCAATTGATGTAGTATTATGAATGATCAAAAATGATAATTTCCAATGACCTACTACAAACTACTCAGCAGTCTAGTGTTTCTTCTCATCATTATCTTTATACCAGTCCTCGCTGCAAGAATAGAGAGTTTATTAAAATTAAATTAAATTTTCTGTACCAGAATTTGCAGCTTACCATCCAGGAACGTTTTCTGGTGCATCGCACCGTTCAGTTTCCTCGTTGTAGACCTCTCCCACTTGGCATCCCAAATCACGTGGTTCCAAACCGTTCAGGCAAACATAGAACCGCTGGCAATCGGTCGGGTGAGCGAATTTGGGATGCGCAACAGATTGACCTGCTGCATCAGTCTTCTGTTCCTTCGGGCAGGTGAATCCATCCTTGAGTTGTTCTGTAAAGCAGACATTCAAATAAGCCTACATGCCACGTTTCATACAAAAAAAAGCAAAATTACTGTTAACTCCTGGGTTGCATCCTTGGCGACCCGCATCATGCGGCCACACGCAGGTACCGCTGTATTCATCGAAGTGCAAACCGGCGGTGCAGGGTATTTCATTTGCTTCTCCCTCAATACAGTTGTAGAATACGTTACAAACAGCTGCATCCGGATGGGCAAAGAATCCGTTCTTACGTGGGCACAGAGTATTACCCTTTGGTTGTTCTGATGGTGACAAAAATCATCAACTAATTAGCTTACAAAGAATCCTACTAGAAAGCGTTAATACTTACGCAGTTCTACTCGGTCTCCGCAGTCAACATTGAATGGCTGATCACATTTGTTGATTTTCCTGATCGTGGGATCGAACACCAAACCATCTGGGCACAACCTTTCAGTGGCACGTCCATCGTAACATTCGTAGAATTTGTCACACTGGACGGGATCCTCGTACTGTCCATTCTTGGGAGGGCATTTGAACTGTTGTGAGTCTGGAATGGCAAAAGGATAGATGGTTGTTTATTACTTATGTGTTCCATTCAATAGATACATATTTTCATTGCATTAATAAAAAAAAACAGTTTGATTAATAGCCCAAAAAAATATGAGTCGATGCAAAAAAATGGTAAAGATTGATGAAGGTGGTTGTGGTAACTGAAGTGTACGAAAAACCTTGTTCAATATGATTACTAAAAGTTGATGTTCTACGATGTTGGTCAATTTAAATGTGTCCATTGTGTCCAATATCAGAAAAGTGAGCATTTTTGACAATCTTTCAATTAATCATTAATTTAAAAGGATTGAACAAACGCAAACGCATTACAGTTTAGAACAGTTTTTTTTTACACCAAATCTGTTGTGCTCTTCTTACAGGTTTATAATATCCTTTTTGTGTGTGTGTGTGTATATGAGAAATTTTGGCACACGTGTTTCTCAGCATCCACTGCCACAAATTTGACAGGGGCAAGAGCTCACTTGTGTAGTTTTTATATTGTGCTCCCAATTATTCCTCAACTATTGCTCATAGTTTGCCATTAATGTGACACATCAAACCACATGGGAATTCGAAAACATGTTCAACGGTGCTGATATCGAGTTGCCAGGAACCCATTGGCCAAGGGCAATGGATAGTTTCTGACTTGAGTCAAAACTAATCATGCGATACATCAAATAACATCAGATTTTAAAACTAAGACCACTGGTAATCATATTGTGTATGCAGACCACATTGGCCACACGCGGACATGTCCTGCATGTCCCGAGTAAATGGCAAGTTTCTGCCAAGAGCCAAAACCCCTTTGTGCGCCATATCAAATCAAATGAGAATTCAAAGGAATTTTAATGGTAGTCATTTAGAGTGCCCAGGTCCACATTGGCTACATCTGGAGAAGTTTCGGGTGCCCCAGGGAAATGGTCAGTTTATGACTAGGGACACACTCGGCTCTCGTTCATTAGGTTTAAAAATTTCAAAAAGAGACATAATCTGATGTTTCCTGATCCGCAGGGTCTCCTAAGTCGCACTACCAGTAACGACCTTTAAGACCGCTCTGAGTAAGCCTACTTGTCGGATAGAAAACTAGTTAGAATCAAAGACCCAACTTTGTTATTTAACTACGGTGCTTAATGCTTTCTTCATAAATTTATAATATATTCAAAGCAGCATGTAATTTTTACGAAATTTAAAATCACATGTGCTTTAAAATAATGTACTAATCTGTTCTCTATATCTGAACAACTTTTGCGAAGACAACAACTTCTCAGCTGGTCAGAATCTCGAGGTATAGCTCATACTAATAGTTTATTTGCCAAATAGCGTCACGTAGTGGAAAAATTTGCCACTTACTAATTATGTTGAAGGCCTTGGTTACATGAATAACTTTGTCCAAGGCAGCAATTACCTAAATGATCAGGTTTTCGAGATAGGCGAGATATACCATATACTGGAATATTATATGTACACTAGCACCACAAATTTTGAAATTTAACGTGTTAGCAGCGCCGGTGGTGTAGTGGTAAGCGTGATTGCCTCTCACCCCAGCAGGTCTGGGTTCAATCCCAGTCGGCGCCGCCGGGATGTTCTGAGGCATAACATCTCTGATCATGCCTTCCTTCGGAAGGGAAGTAAAGCCGTTGGTGTCTGATTCATGAGTTGATGGCTCGATATGTAGGGTCCAGGTGTGGGAGCTGTCTCCCTGGCGTCGGTAGCATTGGTGCTCAGCATGGAAAACAAGATTGATGGAAATCATATCAAGGAGAAAAAAAATTAACATGTACCCTAGCGCCACGTACTGGCAGAATACTGATCTTCTCACCTTTATAAAGGCTTTGATTATCTGAACAACTTTGCCGAAGACTAGTTTATTATTTTCACGTGATACGGGGAATCTTCAGTAAAGACAGTTGATGGTGATGATTACAGATTTTCGTTATTGGATATGATCATGCTGTGTAACAAAAATGGTAATCGCATTATCGTTTTCCCAAATGATAACCCGGCTTTGATAAGTTTAATCGACTGAGCCTGTACAAATAAAGTAATTATAAAAAAACACCATTTTCAGAACTGCCTGTTGTGATTCTTTGGTAAATACTGATCATGAGTGTAACAAAAAATTAAAATTGTATTATCCTTATCTACATCGGTGATTTTAATTTCCTGGAAATAAAATAGTAATAAAGGGAGCATGACAAAAACAGTTAATTACGAGTAATTACTTGTCCGTTCAAACCCATTTACACTCCGCTTTCCCTATGCAAATACACCCTGAGTAAGGTTTTTCAAAAATGTAGCAGTAACCGGTAATAAATTTCAATTTTAGAATGCTTTATATGATGGGTTTGGTTAGAAATTGGTAATTTCCCAGTTCCCAGAACACACCCCGATGGACCAAAGTGATCGTTGGCACGATGTGACCCATAATGATCTTGATTTTGAATTCTCTTGTGATTTGACATGTTGAAAGATGTTATATAGCGGGAAAACTCACAACTACATAATAGATTAAACTATAATGTTCATACAACTTTAAAACAGTTTAGAACAGTCCGTTCAATTTTTTTAAAGTGAAATTTGTGGAGAGTTTGAAGCACATTGATGAAAAATTAAGCTTCACTTATGAAAAACGCGTATTTTCATGAAAAAATATTCTTGCTGAAACATTTATTAAACTAAAAAGATAATCACTATAAGCATTTTGGTTATAAATGCTAGATTTATATTTTTGCTCATTGATATAACAATTTGAAATTCTATAACAAAAATCAAAAGTCACCTACAGTAAAGTGACAAGCACCACGATTTAAAAAAAAGGCCAAACCCAGCATCGAACCCGTATAAAAATAACCATGCACTTACAGTGAAATATCAATCAAATGCAATACGTTCTGTTGTTGATAATTAACTCTATTATGGTTGTATGATATTTCTCAAATAATTTTATTGTCACCACAGTTGGTTTATAATACATTCTATGTTTGCAAAATTATTAAAAATAGAAAAACAAGAATAAAATTTGTAATGTAATGAAATTTGCTGGAGAAAAATTGATTTTCTTTACAACCCCTCTCATCTAGTGTGAAAGTCGCATTAACTTATATTGTGTTATATAGTTATTTATATCGAATTTGTATTGTTCTTGGCAATAACATTAATGGTAGCTACCGAAGATATTAGTGGATTGTAACAATAGCTTATATTGTGGTGCATTTTTATGCGGAAAGCCTAAGAAAATTATAAAATGAACATTCTAGATGTTGCCGTTGAAAATAAATTACTCGAGATAGTCAAGACACTGGAATTCAGTGCAACTCGAACAACAATCTGCAGCTAAAGCATTTTTTTACTTATTCTAAGCCATAAGTTAAAGTTACATGGACTTCAAAAGCTGTATTATAATAGCTATAGATAATATATTGGCTCAATCTGGCGTAAATTGTCTATTCATATAAAATTGGATTGAAAAAATACTCCAAGATTGGTAGCATTTTCAATGGACTCGAGAAAAACTTCAGATATATTAATATCTGGTAAACCTGAGGGTATATAGCGTATTTGCATTTTTGTTTTGTTCTTAATTAATCCAAAAAAATATTGCATGAAGACCAGGTATATGTTGGCTTCGGCACTAAAATTGAAACGTTAATTTCGCTGTATTTATCACTAAAATACTTCGCTGAATGTATTTAACCGATGCCTTAGTCTATCAGCTTCAATCTGATTACATTTTTACGATTGAGTAAACCTGTTATGCCAGGGTTTTCTTCAAATGAAACATACGCACTAAAAATGCGGCTGATTGTGAGTTGCCGATAATAATAGAATAGCTGATTAACATACAGTTCAAATAGAAAGGTTGCCGATGAAAAACCGACTTCCGAAAATAATCACACTCACCTGAAAAGATGGAGCGTTGTAAAAACGTTTTTAAAGCCGTTTTGGACAATCCTGTCGATTGGAATGGATAGAATAGCAACCAGCAGATAAATGTAAACAAACAAACAATTGCTAATAGAAGTGTAGATGCTGCTTAGATTGACAAGAATACGTAAATTCCCCTAGTTGATTCCACATCAGAATTCATAAATTAAAAAAACAAAAGTACAGCTGTACGATCATCAGCGATGTGAATCATGCAATACTTCAGTACTGATGGAAGCAATCAATCAATCAATAACTAATTATCATTACTTTAATTTAAAAAGCGGTCTTGAGCAATATTCTTGCAGAAAAAATCTCTTATAACCGCGTATAGCAGGATTATCTGTAGTTCAATATGGCGGAATACAAGGACAAATTGAACAAAAAGTATACCATGTTAATTCCCATCACAGGACCAGTGCTGTTTTGAGCTTCATCCAAATGAGCTAAAATTATAGGATCTGGACATAATTTTGAATCGATTGTATAACACAGTATAACGGATAAATTGAGCCACTACTAACCACAGTTCTCCAAGCTTGTTCTCAGCAATTTCAAGCACGATAATGATGTACTTGAAGATAATTCAAGGGAGACCACTGTTTTCACTTTCTTACTTTTGAATCTTGCATACATACCCCTTCGCTACACATGCTTCCTTGGCTGCTCCAAGCAACTCACAGGACATTGTGTTTTGTTTTGTTTTGTTTTGTGGACCATCAACAGAACTGGTCTGGCTACAGCCACCGACCGAGCGGGTTTTTATTTGTATAAATATTTTCCAGACAGTGAGAACAACTTTCAAAATTGCATCCACCATGGAGACACAAATTATCGATGGTATTTTGAGCCAGTCCTGTCACTGTATGCTATTAGTGTTATCGACCACTTTTCGGAACTACTACTTATAGGCCTATGTGAGGCAGGACATGTACACGTGCAAGGCCAACTGGTTGAACCACATAATGGCACACATGTACATGGTAGAGATAATAATGATGTAATGTGCTGCACATCAATAATTCGGTCAAGTGGACTGTGGAAAACTATTACATTGATTAAGCCGACAATGGT